AATATCAATTTTACAAAATTTATCCAAATCCAGAATTTCAGATTCTGGACAGAAACTTAAGTTAAAAAATGATCCAATAATGAGACTTAAAAATGAGATAAATTCCCATCTTTTWATATGGTTTATAGCACTGAGTTATAGCCATCGTGACCAAATTTCATGAAGATTGGGTAAGAGATGATGCTTCAAATAATAATTCATGCAATGCAATTTATCACAACTGAAATGGCAGATTGCACCATGTTAGTAAAACACTCATAAAAAGAGTTCTACTTGGTGTTCTGCAAAGATTCAAGTTGAATTGAAAACCTAACACTTATACGAAACTTTGAATAACTCATTTTGGATGAGTTGAGAGGAAGATATGACACCTTAAAGTCACATGCACACATCTGCCATCAATTGACAGATTGCAYACCTAACTTATAAAAATCGGTTCATGCCTCAAAACATCGTATTTTTGAGTGAGACTGGATTCAAATGAATCATAACTAATAAAAGAAAGTTTTAGAAGAAGAATCATACATTAAGGACAAACAAGGAAAAAGATACTAGCATAGAAATTAGAAGTTACCTACTGGTGGTCTCACAGTTTACACACCTATAGAGTTTTAGGTGTTTGGAGATCAACACTCCATAATTTTATGTGATTCCACTTGTTTGTAGGAGAAAATCCATAAAGTTAACTCTCAAAAGAAGAATAATCCTTTTTCATTGAGTTAAGAGAGAGATATGATCGATGGAACACACATATACAAATTTGTCAAAATCGGATAGATTGCATGTTCATCTTATTTTAAGTAAATGAAACCTCAAATCACCACCATATCGAGTGAAATCAGTGGCATTTAAAAGGTATCTCATTAAACTAATATCCAGAAGAAAAATCAACAATTTTGGATGATTATCCAGAAAGTTATGACCATTCAAAGTATGGTTTACCTACTGGAAAATCTCATATGCATAGATATAACGTTTTGAGCATTTGGGGGGGTCAAAACTCAATGATTTTGAGTGAGACCAAATGCATTGCAACCCCAACTCAGTAAATAAACTTTTAAAAGAAATCTCATGACATTTGAACAAACCATTTACAAAATATGAACGATTTGTGCACAAGCACATAATCTGTCAGCAACAGAATATGAAGTTTTTAATAAATAAACCACATAAAATCATGATTCTATCTATAATTTTGAGTTCTAATGTCTGGGTCATGGATTACCACTATCAAATAAACATTTTTACATGTTTTTGGTGTGTAATCTCACCTTGAAACTCAAGATTTTCGAAACACATAGAAAAGATGATAATGAATGCAATAAAGTGGGTTTTTCTCCCAAAAACATACAAGAAAAGAGGAAAAGATGAATGCATTACCTTGTTTGATGAT